TCCAACTCATGATGACCCTGTATAGGGTTTCCAAGGAGAGGCTGGTGAGTTTGAACCATCGACCTTGTGGTTCAAACAAACTTTGCAGTTCAGTGCCTTATCCCACAGCACCACATCAGGACTCCTTTCTTTTTATATATATATGTTTCACTGCTTTTGCTTCTTTAGAAAACCTGGCCTAAGTCAGATGGAGTTGTAGGAAGCAAGTGGATTTGTGTGATATTAGCATCGTGACTGTGGTGATAGGTACATGAACCCACACAGGTGATAAAATTTTATAGAATTTAGTTCTTACATGGGGAATGCAGTGGCTCCACAAGATGAGCACTGGACTGCAAACCACACGGTCAAGGGTTTGAACCAACCAACCAACCATTCCATGGGAGAAAGATGAAGCTTTCTCCTCCCTCAAAAATTGAAAGTCTTGGAAATCCTATACAGTGTTGCTATGAGTTGGAACCTACTGGACCACATTTAACAACAATAGTATATAACAATGATAAGTAAGATTTGAAAAATCTGAATTAAATAGGTATATTAGCTCAATGTTCATGTCCTGGTTATAATATTATAGTATCATTTTGCAAAATGTTATTCTTTTGAATTGAATTGTGTCCCCTAAAAATATCTGTTTAAAAACTAACCTATGTGCCTATGGTTATAATCCCGTTTGAGAATTAGTTGTCGTTGTTATGTTGATGAGAGGGGGTCAGTGTAAAGTATATCTTACACTGTTTTGCAATATAAAAGAGATCAAACAAGCAAAAGAGAGCCACAGAGATGGGGCCACATAGCAAGCTACATAAGGAGCTCTGGTAGCATAGTGGTTATGAATCGGGCTGCTAATCTCACGGTCAGCAGTTTGAAACTACCAGCTGTTCCTCGGGAAAAAGATGAGGCTTTCTGCTCCTGTAAATATTACAGCCTTAGAAACCTTGTACAGGGTTGCTATGAGTCAGAACAGATTCCACGGCACATAACAACAACAACAACAACAACCAAGCTACAAGAAAAGGTCACCCAGGAGCAGAAGCTCAGAAGGGACAAGGATTTTTCTCCAGAGCCAATAGAGAGAGAAAGTCTTCCCCTAGAGCAGGGGTGGAGAACCCTCTTCCTGCCAAAGTTTATACCATTATTCATAAGCCATGCAAAATTATCATCTTAAAAATTAGTCTGCTAAGTTTAATACAAGATGCAAATGCAAATTGCTACAATTTGATGAACTTGACCTTTACTTACGAATGCAGTTGCTCAAAATATCAACCAAGAGGGGAGGATTCTTCACATCAAAGCTCAAGCCTATCTCCTCAGTACACAGGGTTGACGGGGTTGGGCAACTTACACATGGCTACCTAAAATGGGGGGCTATAAAGGCATGAAGTGGTTGGCTTACAAGTATTCAAGAGGGAGTTTAGTTTCACAGTGAGTGGGGGAAGGTAGAATTCCCAATGAATGTGCTGGCAGGGAGGAGGCTGGCTTGTAAAATGTACAACCTTTGGTTGTTTAAATGATTATATAATCCCTGCATGTTTTGTGTACATAAAAAAAAAAAAAAGAGGGAATAGAGGGAAATACTGTTAATAATGGTGCCTGGAGGGGATTTTAATCATTGCAATGAAACAAAATACAATTGGTTGAGTGTAAAACTGATGTTCTTCCATGTAAACTATCACTCAATTCACAATAAAAGCTTAAAAATAAATTAGTCTGCTATATTTGGCAAAGTATTTAATTAACACACCCCTAATGTAATGTCTGGAACTGCAGTTTCCTTGGCAGGGCTAAACCAAATGATCTCTTGGGCCTTATACAGCCTGCAGGGTCACATGTTCCCTATCCCTGCCCTAGAACCAGCTCCCTGAATTCGGGACTTCTAGCCTCCCAAACTGTGAGAAAATAAATTCTGTTTGTTAAAGCCATGGTGGTATTTCTTTATAGCAGCACTAGATAGATAACTAAGACAACTACCATTGGGGAAAACTAAGCAAACTGTAAAATGGACCACTGTATTATTTTTTATAAGCTCTGGTAGCGTAGTGGTTACAAATCAGGCTACAAACTACAAGGTCAGAAGTTCGAAACTACCAGCTGTTCCATGGGAGAAAGATGAAGCTTTCTACTCCCGTAAAGATTTATAGCCTCGGAAACCCTGTACAGGGTCGCTATGAGTTGGAACCTACTCCATGGCACATAACAACAACATATTTGAATCTACAATCATCTCAAAAAAAATTTCAATAAAAAAAACAGGAGACCTATAAGAAGTTCTAATTCACCTCTACCCAAATTTCTTACCCATTTTTATCCTCAGCTACAGAACTGTATACAGCTCTAAAATGTGAATACTTGTCGGAAGCAGCTCTGACTGTGAAAACTCACTTCTTACAGTGGCAGGACAATCTGTTGACTCCCACTGATTCAAGTTTTGTTCTAACAACTGTGGGAGCCTGGTGAGAAACATGATAATTTCCTCACCACTCAGTCAGGTTGTTTTTCCCCTGAGAATTATCACTTGCATCTTTGTTTCTAAATCATCCAGGCCTCTCTTTTATCAAGGTGGCTAAAATCCATGTTCCCTGAGTGGAAGAGGACTTAGAGAGATAGGTTTCCTGGAAGGAGAATGTGTGCAAACACGTGAGGTCCCTGTGGAGGCTGGGCAGTCTGCAGTCAATGGGGGTGCTGAGAGAATAACCTACATGGCAGCCTGTGGCATGGGGCATTGCTATCATGGTGCCACAAATAAAAGATCTGATCTAACCATGAATGAGCCCTTGAGACTTTTGTCTGACCTGAGAAATAAACAGGACCAGTATTACATTTCCCAAGAGTCAGGGAGGTGAAGGCTAGAAACAGATTAATCTGGTTCTGAAGAAAACAAAACAAAACAGAATCCTGTGAATTTTCTGGCACCTAAATGTCATAGAGAATTCCCCCCCCCCAAACCTGGTGTAGCACTGTAGGATAAGATGTGGACTGCAATGGTTCGTTTGACTAAAAGGTTGGTGGTTCAAACTCACCAGCCAATCCTCAGAAACCCTATACAGGGTTATTATGAGTCAGAACCAACTCAACAGCACTTAACAACAACAACAAACTAAAGTGGATGTCACATCTTGGAAAGGTTTTCAACATAATTACTTCAGCTAGCTGAAAGCTGGTACCTCTGAGCTAATGGAATAATAAAGCATACATCTTCTCCGAGCAGTTCCTTTAATTAAAACAGCTTTAGGCCTAGAAAGAGCCATGAGACTTGGCATTTATATAACCTGAACCCAAGACACACAGATCCTGATGCTTGGGGATGCTGATAATGCCAATAAACGCTTTATGCAGGAAGTCCTCATTTCCATCAGCAGCCCAAACATGTCCCCTACTCTGGTGTCCTGATGTGGCACTGTAGGATAATGCACTGGACAGGAAGGTCGGTTTGAACCACAAAGTCAGTGGTTCAAACTAACTAGTCACTCCTTGAAAACCCTATAACAGGGTCTCTATGAGTCAGAATCAACTCAATGGCACTTAACAACAGCTCTGGTCCCGGGGCATGTGTTTAACAAATTGCGAGGGTGTTCTGGTTTATAGGATGAGAGCTTCTACTGATGACTAACATAAATGACTACCCAGCATGACAACCCAGTGTTGCCTCTGACCCTATAATACCCAGGTCCCATCAGCCTCCAAAGGGAGGTGGCCTCGGATGGGTAGACTAGAGCTGCATTTGGGCCTGATTTGCTGAGCTGTGGCTGAGTAGCCCTTATAACCAGGAAAACTAAGGAAGTTCAGATACTAAAGCATGGCAGACTCCTGGTACAGGGAAAGCAATTCTTGGTAAGATCAGATGGCTGATCAAGTTAAAACTGGGAAGAGTCTATGAAGCAAGAAGCTGCAGTGGGCAAAGCATGTTCCTGGTATCCTTATTAGCTTCCCTCCACCATGTTCTTGTCCAGTAGACTGACCTGAGTGTGTGCTAACACTAGACTCCAGTCCCTCTGGCCACTTGGGAGCACTGGGAGAAGATGGAAGGAGGAAGGAGATGCTTTTTTTTCCTGACTCTCTCCCAGGCTAGCCTCCACCTGGCTGTGTCTCTCTACCAAGGATTACCCCTTCTCTTGGGGTTGGTTCTTTCTACATGGTACTTACTCTCTTCTTCTGGAACTGGGAGCCACGCCTCCCTCTTCCTTGTCTCTTTGGATCTAATACTGATCATTTGGCTGCTACTAACCTAACATACTGCCTTTACCTAAGGCCTTCACATCTAACTCCTCTGTAAGCAGATCTTCCTGAGTTCTTCTGTTTTGAGTGTGCAGACTTCTTACTGTTGGGAACCTGATGGATGCACAGTGGATATTTTTGTCTCAGGTCTGGAAGTGGTGAAAGTCCTGGGAGCTGTGTACATCCTCTCCTCTCTGGGAGCCTGTTCTAGCCATTGAGCCATCTCTGCCATCACTCCTTTCTAGTTCTTCCTGGCTAGCCATGCAGGTGGGTACAGCCACTTCCTGAACTACTTGCATGATCTGAAGAGGTCTCCTACTTACTCCTAAGCCCCCTGGGTGGTAAGGCTGGTAGTAGGCTAGACCATGGGCTTTTGTAGTTCAAGGAATAAGAGCTTGAGGTCAGTTGTCAACAAAATTCAAGCCTTACTTTGTGGGCTCTGGGCGCCCTCTCCCCATAACCACCTATTCTCCCTGGGCCCTGACCCTTTCACTCCCAGCAGGAAGGGGTTGTTGTTGTTGTTGTTAAGTGTCATCAAGTTGGTTGACTTACAGCAACCCTGTACAGGGTTTCTGAGGTATGGGGGTAAAAATGTCCAGTTTGGCACCCACTCTTCTGTACCCTGTCTACAGAGGAAAATCTGACACTTCAGGGAACAAGGACCAGGAGTAGGTTGATTCCAGGTGTTGATTCAGCTGTGGAAGGGCTGGGGATGATGTTCTGGGGCCTGAGAGAAATAGGAACTGGCTCAACCACCACAGCTGGCTGCTCCCAAGGCTGCCTCGTACCTGACACCGCTGCAGAAACACAGTTGGAGGCTGGGGCTTGGCTGCAAAGCGATATTCTCGAGCACTCTCATTCTTGAATTGACCTCGGTAGTGCCCATAGAAGCCGTTGCTGTGCTGTAACAAGGCTAGTAAGGTGAAGCCCACCCCAACCCCCATCCCAGACCTCAGGTCACCTAGCTGAAGGCTCCAGAAAATCCAGACCAGAAGGCCCTCCCAGGTGGTTCTAATGAAGGAAAATCTGACTAACAAGGACACCTCAGGAGATGGGCCAGCAGAGAGACATCTTTCTGCACAGTTAGAGCAACTGTGTTGACCCATCTGGGAAGGCTATATGTGTGCCATTAATTCATTCATCTTTAAAATAAGTCCTATTATGTGCAGGAGTACTAGTGTGGTGACTGCAAAATTGGTTTGAATTGTGAGGTTGGCGATTCAAGCTCACCAGCTGATCCTCGGAAACTCTTAGCAGGGTTGCTATAGATTGGAACTGACTCTATGGCACTTAACAACAACATTATGTGCTAGAAAGTTTAACAATGAATAAGGAAGACCATAGAAGAACTGATGCATTTGAGTTACAGTGTTGGAGAAGAATATTAAAAGTACCATGTATTGCCAGAAGAACAAATAAATCTGTGTTGGAAGAAGTATAGTCAAGATGCTCCTTAGAAGTCAGGATGGCCAGATTTCATCTCTTATACCTTAGACATGTTATCAGGAGGGACCAGTCCCTAGAGAATGATATCATGCTTGGTAAAGTAGAGGGTCAGCAAAAAAGAGGAAGACCCCCTAGGACATGGATTGACACAGTGTCATCAATCAGTAATGGGTTTAAGAATAAGAATTGCTTTGGACCAGGCAGTTTCATTCTGTTGTGCCAAAGAGTCCCTAAGAGTTTGGAATTGATTTGACAAGCACCTAACAACAACAACAACATGTGCTAAGTGTCCTGGTGGTACTGTGGGTTAAGCATTGGATTGCTAACCTAAAGGTTGGCAGTTCAAACCCATCAGCTACTATGCAAGGGAAAGATGGGACTGTCCACTCCCTGAAAGATTTAGTCCCAGAAACCTTAAGGAGCAGTTCTACTCTGTCCTATAGGATTGCTATGAGTCAGAATGAACTCAATGACAGTGTTTGGTTGGTTGGTTGATGTGCTAGGAAAATGACAATGAAAAGACGGAGAGAGATCCTGGCCCCTTTGAACTTCTGGTGAGGGAGTCAGACACAGCAAAGGGGATCAAGGAAGAAATAACCTGGGGACCAGGAGAGACAAGAAACAGGGACAGCCCCATAGGACATAACAACAGGAGTGAAACTTGAAGGTGAGAAGGTATTGCCATGTGAAGAGCAGCAAAAGAACTTTCCATGTGGTGGGAAGTACACAGGCAAAACTTAAAGGCTAGAAAGGGAAGTGTGTTAGAACAAAAAAGAGGACCCATGACTAAAAGCACTGTGAACAAGTTGGGTAGAGATGTGAGATAAGGTCACAAATGGTTGTCTTTTAAGAGTAAGGAGACTTTTCAGCAAGGGAAGAGACTGGCCAGTCTCTGAAATGGGCTGACCCAGAACATTGAGGGCCACTGTCCAATGGCTTGGTCTTCCCTGGGGAGTCTGAAAGGAGATCTCCTTTACTGTCTTTCCTCCAGAGCTAATAATGGGCCAAACATCTCAGAAGAGTAATCCTGCATTTTTTAAAACCTTGCAACCATACTGCCAGACATGAAAGGGTCAAATGGAGAGTGTTCTGCATCCACTGACAAAGCAATTAACACCCATTGCCATACATTCTGATATTAAAGGGCAAGAAGAGAATCCTCTGAAATTGGTGCACTCAGGCAAGGAATGAACTTTCCAGGCACTTCACCAACAGAAGATATCTTCTGGAGAGAATTTTAGAAAAAGGCCCGGGCAAAACACAGAGGGTTTCAAGAAGACTGTGAAAATGTTAGGTGGACATCTTGTAGAGAACCATGTCTAACCAGACACAACCTGATTGCTACCTGGAAAGAATATGGATGTCTGGTCATCCACAATTTCAGCTCTGAGCAGAGAAGCCTCACCTCTGATTATCATAGTGGGCTCCTCAGGAGGACTCAAAAGGTCCCTGTCAGTTCCTCCCACTGAAGCCTTGAGTAGTCCTACTTGTCTGTCCAGGCTTATTTATCTGTTGAGCATCCCTTGCTCTCTGTTCAGTTCAATAGTGTTTATTTTACTGTGTGGCAGGCACAAACCTTGCACAAGAAATACAGGTAGAAAAAAATATAGGCTTTGCTTTCTAGGTATCCCAGACTTGAGAGCAGCCAAGCACTGGAAGTTTAAGGGAATCAAGCAAATGACAGGAAATAAATGGTGTGGTTGGAGGTCTAGGAGTTTCATCTGGCTGGAAGACTGAAAAATATAGAGTAGGGTGGTGGTATCAGGAAGAATGGGAAGCCTCCAGATGTGACCTTAGGACAGCAAAGAGGAAGTGGGCAGACAGGGTCCTCCACTAAACTGGATGCTAGAAGAAAGCCTTTCCATTTCCTCATGACTTACTCAAATTTCAGGTACAGCCCCAGGGCCAGGATTAACTAGAAGGAGCATTCTTACCCAGGAGCCTACTAAAGCACTTTGCATCTTCCAGGAAGCAGAAAAAACAAACAAACTTTCCTCTTGTCTTTTTGAGGCTACATGTGAGGAAAGAGAATTTCAGGTCAGCTTATTGTTGCTTAGTGACAAGTAGACATTGTGACTGTACAATACTGCTGATTGTTGAGCCAGTGCCAGGCCCAGTGTCTCTTTGTGCTTGCTGCTCTGTGTTTTTGCTTTAGGGTAGAATCTGTTCCTTGGCATTAACAGTCCAGAAGAGTCCTTATATATAGAAACAAATAAGGCTTCACTATGGAGTCTGATGGATCTGCAGCCAATGAAATATTAAAGAACATTTTAGAGGTGAATCCTGCATTTTTTAAAATGTGCAACTGTACTGCCAGAGATATAAATTTAGAAAGTGTTCCATGGAATTAGAAGTGTTCAAGGAGTTTTTGGCTCTTAAGATAAAATTGTTACTTCAGAATCAGTCTCCGTCAAATTCTCTTTTAGGAGTTTGTGTTGACTGGGAATGCTAATCATAGCAAAAACGTTAGAAGGGACTGAGTGAAGGAGGAGAACATGACAAAGAGGGTGGTGACTGAGGAGGAGCACACAAAGACTTCATATCATGTTCCATTCCAAAGTACTCTTGGGCAATTTGTTGGACTTTTCTTTCTCCACAAATGAAAGTCTACCCCAGTGTAATTACTCTGGAGAGTTCCTTGCACATGAATTCATAGAAACAAGATTCATTTCAGCATCTATAAAGGCACAGAACTGAAAGCAGCATGAATTTTATCAAGACAATGAAGAAGTTGGGCTATGAAATATACAATAAAATATACTATAGTTACTGTGAATCAATTACAGCAATAAGTTTTAAAGATATTGAGTAAAAAACAATCAAGTTGTAGCAGGATGCACAAATCATACCCTTTAAAAATGATACAAACATGCAAAAACAATGTTATATATTGTTTATGGATACAAATGTGAACTGAAAGTATAAAGGTTGCATAGGAATAATAATCACCAAATTTAGGATAGAAGTTATCTGAGGATTGGAGCAATGGGAATGAAACTTTAATTTTAGTTTTTAAAAAATTACTATTGTGGTAAAAGTATATATAGCACCCAGGAGACATCAAGGCAAGTGGTCGGGTCCCCTCAGGGCAAACCCCCTTCCAAGACTAAGACTCAATGGGAATACACAAACAGACACGTGCTCTGACTGGTGACCACGTTGGTCACCAATAAGGGGAAGTGAGGGAAAAACAGCAATGAAGTTGCAAGCTAAGTCCAACCATGTTCAATAGACTCCTGTGAACCTGGGTGGAGACCTGGTTGGCCAGCAGTTTGGAAAGACCTGGGGACTCCTGGGCCCAGAGTCAGTGACACAGCCACAGAGGACTCGAATGGAGAATGAAACATCCAGCTGATAAGAGAGTGCATATGCACAATAACACCCACACTTGCAGATAATAATCACTTGACCTAGCTTCAATGGCTGGATGATCAGAGCTCAACTAGAAGAAGAAAGAAGAGGAAAAAGAGAAATCAGATTCAATTTGATGACCTACACCTATGGATGCAGTAGTTCAGAAGAGGAAACAAATCTTTACAGCGAGGATCATTCCCACCCCCTCAATACACAGGGTAGACAGGGATGGGCAACTTGGACATTGGCTACTCAAAATGGGGCGGGGGGAGGGCGGTACAAAGGCAAAAAGTAACTGGCTTACAAGCTTTCAAGAGGGAGCCTAGATTCAAAGGGTGTGGAGGAAGGTGGAATCTCCACTGAGTAGTATCCAATCTGTCTGGGCGGGGTGATGAAAGGAGATGGGGATAGCACTCATGTGGTACAATAGTGAATAATTACTATCAGGACTGACTGTGAGGGTTGGAAATGTAAACGTAGACATTTTGTAGCAAAAGGAGGGGAGTGATTGACTTTGTAGTCCAGGAGCAGAAGTCCCTGGGACCATCAAAAGAGCAGAGTGCTGGACCCTACCCAGAGAAACAGTGTCGCCAGAGATGGAGGCAGAGACGATTACATGCAGAGATGGAGTGGCTGGGGACTCTAGACCCAGAGAGGGAGAGGGGCTGTGTGCTGATGACCGAGGGGCAGGCTTCCGGGTTTGGTTGTTTGATGATGTATGAAGGGGATTGTAACTATGGCAATGTAACAATATATGATAGAATGAATGTAAAGCTAATGTTCTCCCATGTAAACTATCACACAATTCACAATAAAACAGTTTAAAAAAAAAAAGTATATGTAGCAAACTTTCACAACAGCCATAGCCTTTTACAGTCCTGCCAGCTATAGATGAAGGTCCCAATTTCTCCACATCCTCTCCAGCAGTAGTTTTTTTCTATTTTCTGATCATGTTATTAAATGCCATTCAATGAAAGTGTTGATTGATTTTGACTCACAGCAACCCATGTGACAATAGAGCTGTTCCGTAGGGTTTTTGAGGCTATAATTTTTACAGGAGCAGATCACCAGGTCTTTCTCCCACAGAGACAGTGGGTGGGATCAACTACCAACTTTTAGGTTAGTAGGGAATCATAAACTGCTTGTGCCACCCAGGGATCTAAAGCTATCCCAATGGGGGTGATAGGATATCTCATTGTGATTCAATTAGCATGTAACTAAAAACTGTTTTAATATATACTCATGAAAAATCACTTCAATCAAGGTAACATATCCATCCACCATATCCCTCACTTCCAAATCTCCTCCAAATTTTTAATCTTTTCATTTGTCACTTATCTATTTTCTACCCCTATAGATTAATTTACATTTGTAGAATATTATATAAACGGAATCATACAGTATGTATTCTTTTGCAGTAGGTTTCTTTCA